TTTCCCTTTTGACGCCAATTAGTTTACGTGTCTTAATGTCTGTTGTCAACAGGAAAATGTTTCTGGTGTTCACCGTTTCCATAAGTGCAGGTACCGGTAACAGTTTGTAGCGACAGTGTTACCAATATTATAAGGGTATGTACTACATATATTTAACTTTGGCTAGGAAAGGTGGGATTAAGGACAATGCATGGACGCAATGCAATTTATATTTGATGTAAATAGCACATAGTATAAAATACAAAACAGAATGTAATGATTTCAAAACGTAACAATTGAATTTATTGAGTATTTGATGTACATGCATGTGAACTGTAAATGTTAGACAGACTTGTGTCTCTTAGACTAGGTAATATTTGTACCTAAGCTCATAAAGAAGAAGTTGATTATTAAATTGTAGAAGAATGAGTTGTTGCATGTTTGGAATTGTGTATTGTACAAGTTGGTTAAAGTTCAGAAGAGATTTCAGAGTTCGTACTTGCGTGAATGTTGGTAATGGTCTTTAACGTCTGACTACATGGTCAAGACGGGAGTTCTTGAAGTTTACATCTTGGCAGCAAGGAGAAAGATGAATGAAAAGAAACAGGAGCTTACATGTGCTTTGTTTATATAAGATCGTGTATTGTATCACGTGGGAGGCTTCGACTGAGTTGGCGCCAAAATAGATCTGTCGCGTGGGGGTGATTTGATTGGTCGAAACTGACCAATCAGCAAGCTAGATTGAAGGTGATTAACCAATGAATGCTTGTTATATATTTTGTAAGATGGTGGTGGTGAAAATCACAACAGGAATAGTGCATTTCCTAGCAGGGGTTAACTGGCTGTCGTGGAAGATTCCACAAGTTCGTTTCCGTCAATTAAATTTTCTTTTTTTTCTTTTAAACCTTTATGATATTCGGGTCCTTTTGGTGGGGGCCTATCCGTTGCCCACGCCGAAGGGATCGCTTCAGTGGATGTGGCATCAGGAGTTTGGAACTCCGCCATAATGTTGGCGTTTCCATGACACCGGTTAGAAACAAACACAAGTTAACGAAAAGAAGACGCTGAATACATTGCACAAACAATGGACACAAATATAGCAATCAAAGACGCCACAAAACTCACGCTTACTTTTAAACAATATAACTTCGGGAAAAATGACGTGAAGAAATTCGCCGTACACAAAAAAACGTTCATGAGCGTCTCGTTCAACAGATAGTAGCTCAACTGGCAATCGGTGTGGCGTACTGTTTTTATAGCAGTACCTCATCTACATACAATACTACAATAATAATAAACCTTTTCAGCAATTCGTTATTCTTATGTGTGGTGCAAATTTGTCATAAGCGATTCATGATTTTTAATTAAAAGCTTGACTATAAAAGGTTTAAGTGGTTGAGAGATCTAAAGTTATAAGGTGGTTTCCCAGTGTTTCGATCCTGCCTGGAAGCAAATTTTTATTTAGACTCTCAAATGCACAGGCCGATAGACATAGATTTACCCTATTCATATTATTTACAGATCCTGAGGAAGGCCGGAGCGTACAACGGCCCAAACGACGTGAATATGGCAATAAAGATGAGGACAACAGTCTGAACAATGTAAATAGTGTAAATAATTACAATACCTCATCTCAGAAATATAGACAAATATCAATTGATAGATATTAATTTCACTATTTAACATAACAAGACTGTCCGTTTAATCAAGTTTCGCAATAATGTTAATCTTATTAATGTTTAGTTATTTTTAAAATGGTTACACTGAAAAACTAAAACACTTACTTTAATGATTCTCAATAATTTATTTCCTTAATTCATGTTTGAACCTGCGTAAGCTTTTAAAAATTTAAAGTAATCACGATTATAATTTTTCAAGTTAATAGTAGATGACCCACCGTACCTTGACATCATTGAAATATAAAGATCTATATGACAGATTCTAGACGGATGGGAATTCCATTTCTGAAATTTGGGGGACAACTGACGGTATGTGAGCAGAAGAACCACCCGAGCACTCCTGCTAGCAAAACACGTCACCGGACACGATGTTTGGACTTGTGACGTCGTTACTTGGACCCTGAAGAACTGGCAAAGTGTGACGTGGCCTGATGAGTCATGTTTCCACTTGTTTCTGGCAGATGATAGAGTTTAGGTGCGGCACTGACCCCATAAGACTATATACAACATTTGTTAACAAGGAACCGTACTGAAGTGTCTGAGATTTTAATTTCTCGAAATTTTATAAAATTAAGTAAATGATGTTAGAAAACAAAATTTTACGAACATTTTCTTTAAAAAATAAATCAAAACAAATTCATTTGTAAATAAGTCCTGAAAATATCGTTAAAATCCGACAATTATTTAATTTTTGCAAGGATTTCTAGAACAATGTTTGTTTTTTTTCCCCGCAAAAAGAAAAATAGTAAACTTTCGCCCAGAGGCTGACGCAAGAAAAACAAGATTTTTAACCAAAATTTCGAACGTTCAAGAAAGGATTCAAACATTTGATAAAATAATCTAACAATACTTTGGTTTTCCTCTTAATAATAGCATAAAATATTTTGACGACAACACTTTGTCGTTATCAAGTTTTTTCATCGTGGTATGATCTTTTAGAAGAATTTTGGAGGTACGTACATATATATATATATATCCAATGCAATGAGAACGAAAATAATATATAAATTCTAACTTTCACATCATTAATTCAAAAGAGGGCTTCATAGCGATAGTAGATCAATGTAATTCGCTAAAAAAAAGGGATGAAAAAGACGAAACTTGTAGAACTAAATTTTATTGTCTAAATGCTTATGTTATTATTAAGAGGAAAGACCAAAGTTTTTTAATTATTTTAAAAACTTCTTTTTAGAACATTCTAAATTTTGATTAAAAAAACCTTTTTTCTATTTGTATCAGCGGAACTAGTAAATAACATAGACAATTTTTAGCATACATTAATTTGAAAAATCGTGCAAAAAAGAAATAATTATTGTTAATGAAACTTTCAGAAACTATTCACAGATGATCGAAATTATAAATATGTTTTTTTATGAAAGTCATGGTAGAAATATTTTTTTTAAATATTTATTACCCCCCATAACTAATTTTATGAAAACGCTAGAAATTCGATCGCATCGGTTTTAGTGATTACAATCACAGGGCTTTGAGGAATGCAAATCATGTTTTTTTTTTTTGTTTTTAATTGGATACGCAGTCCTGAAAATCAGCTTTTGTAACATACAAAACTCAATTATATTATTTAATTTCAAATGCTTTTATTTGCTTTTAGTTGTTTTTATGAATATGGACAATATTTTCTATAAGCAAAAAAAATTTTTCGATGAAAAATGAATTTTAATACAATTATTTGTTATTTCATTAATTATAATAGATTTTACATTTAAGTTGTTAAAATATTATAAAATTAGTTAAAAGCCGCATCGGCTTTCATAAGTCTCTCTTATGAGATAGATCTTTTTTTAGCGCGTTGTAAATTGTATCATTTTGAATAATCAGAAGATACCCAGTAATTAAGAAATGTAATTTTGTGCTTAAATCGAGCTGTAATTATAAAATACGGAAGACCAACCAGAATATAATTAAGTTGCGTTATTTGAGTCTCCGCTGTTAAGGCCTTTACTTTTAGACACGTGTGGAGAAGTTAATTTGATTTTTCAATTTCAACTGAGAAGGGTACCTACAAGTATCAGTATCATCTTATGAAATTTATATGATCTTATTTTTTATATTAATCTCAGTTACGACATTTTCCATAAATGAAATATCAAAATTAATAATAAAATGAATGCAAATACAAATAACAGTAGAATGTAATAAATGTACATAAAATTATAGTATTTTATGTACAATTCTGATAAATTTCATAAGAAAGGTACCTATAAATTAATTAGATACCTTTCTTAAGAAATATGAAATTTAATGTCACTCTTTATTTTAATTTCTTTAGAATATATTTCCCATCATAAACGTAAAAACGTAAAAAGCTAAGTACAAAAAAAAAAAATTAGACCGCTGAAAGTTTTCGTTAAAAATAACGGGTAAATAATTTGTTCACGTAAATGTAAATTATTTCCTTTTCTCCTTCCGTAGAACAAAGCCTCATGAAAACATATCATTCATCACATGTCAAGAGACGCGAAAGTTTATGCCTGCTTTGTTTTATTTTCAAACATCTTTTTTGGCACAAAAGCTAAGTTAAGTTTGGTTCAAAATATTTTAAATAAACATTATAATTTCTGATTTTTCTTAAAATAAGTTTTAAAAAATGATAATTGATATTTAAAAAATTTCAAAGTCAGATTTCCAGTTTTTTTTAAATGGAAAAAATGGTCAATTTTGCTGACTCAAAAAAAACTTTTTTAACGAAAATTTCGGACGTGCTGCCCCAAAAATACTTTGACCTTTCCTCTTAATAATAACAAACATTTAGACGATAAAATTTTGTTTTCGTCAAGTTTGGCGTCTTTTTTCTCCATCGTCTTGGAGGTACCTAAGTTTACTCACTACAAAGAGGCAACTTCGTTTCAATGCGTTTCAATTACACTTGGACTATTTGTTGAGAATCAAAAATTTAGGACAATTCTTTTGAACGTTGTGAAACGTCACTTCCTTTTTCCATTTGTTTGAGAAAGAAATATACATAAAGCAAAAAGGTGATGGAGTACCGATAAGCTGAAAATCAGTGATAGGGTGTCCAAACTTTCGACTAAGGAAGCCTACTTTCTACTAAGTCCATAAACCAGATTTTCTAAACAAACTACCTACAAGGGTTATCAACCCGACCAAATCTGAAATCGGGAGAATTAGCAAAACGATCCTGGTACACACATATATATATATAATGTGAATTTACTTACTTTCCTTTATTAGCCATTGCAGTATATCACTTAGCGTCCTCCATCGTTTACCTTGACTTTCCAATTTTGCTTTAGAATATTTTGAACGTTCTTAAATGTAATAATTTAAATAAAAACCTGCGCTGTTTTTACTTCTGTTTACAACCCGTACAATCACCGAAGTTAAGCAACGTTGTGCCTGGTCAGTACCTATATGGGTGACTGCTTGGGAATACCAGGTGCTGTAAGTTTGGATGTGAGCGTGGTGTAATGAATAATGACTTGGAATTGTTAATCAGAGAGCCGAGTTCCAATTCCAGTTGGGGTGACGTTATATACGCTTAGACGCAAGTATCATTGGGAAAGGTACGAATCCACCTCTTCTCTTCCCCCCACCAAGATGTGAGCTAATTAGTAAAACTTGTATCACTAAATCAATATTACTATCCCACCAAATAAAAAAAAATTCTTGCATTAATTAACCTGCAAAAATTTAAGCCGTAGTAAACGGATTAATGAATTCTGATTATAAATACATTTTGCAAAATAAAATCCTTCTATAAAGTCCAATAGCGGACGAATCGCGTTGGTAAAGAAATGTTTTCTGGTCTTTATTCTTATTGTCTTATATTGTCTGATATATTTTATTTCTATCTGAAATACACACGCACACACACACACACACACACACACACAAATATATATATATATATATATATATATATATATATATATATATATATATATATATTGAACAATAAAAATATTAAAAAAATTAAAATCTTCAGACACACTGGCTTGTATATTAATATTCTTTCGTTTTTTATTATTATTTCATTTAGATTCCTCGACTAGTTTCGGCCAACATGGCCATCATCATCAGAAAAAAAATTCTGCTTGCTGGTAGCAGTGAAGTACATAACTATATATATATGTATATATATAAAAGAGGGTACTGAAAAGTTCTACGGTCATACACACGCGCAGACACACACACACACACATATATATATATATATATATATATATATGGGTAAAATAGCAGGACAGACTGGGTTCTATAGCCTTGGATGGCAACGGGTCTAGGAGAAGGACATGAATTCAAAACCTGCAGAGGTTCGTTTGGGAACCTTGTGGCATTCGGTGCACCAGGTCTCTGTATTCGTCCCTTCAAAAGGTGTGGATGGTCCTGCACGAGGCCTTCACCACTATAATCAAATCTCATGTGCCGGTGTCGGGCTGTCGGTTTCCTGGAAACTGATCTGCTTGACCCTCATACGTCGAATCTTGACGGGAGAGGCGATTATTATATACACACACACACACACATATATATATATATATATATATATATATATATATATATATATATATATATACCTTGGATTATTTACCTAAAGTGTTCTTTCGTATTTTTATACATACCTGCTGCACACACACACACATATATATATATATATATATATATATATATATATATATATATATATATATATATATATATATATATATATATATTCTTCTCATCTCATGGAAATAAGTTTCCATTTCCTTGGAATTTCACTCAAGGACTTCTATCTCTTCGCTTAAATTGCAAAAATATTTACAATGATTACCAGAATTCCATTTGAAGAAAAAAGAAAACAGTAAGAAGCTATCTGCAGGCTTTTTCCTGCTTCTTTTACTAACAACGAATTAATGTGTCATGCAATTCTCACGTAACAAGGAAATCCCTTTTTTTTTCTAACTTTAATTCCAACGATTTCCAAATCTTGAACGAAAATTCCTTGGCATGTCATAAAATGTGCGCATTTTTACACGTGATAGAGCAACCTCTGTATGAAATCAATTTGCTCAATTTGATCGACGATATTTTTTTTTTTTTTTTGGGTGATTATATGATCTGCATCTGCCGGTGTTCGCTTTCTTTCAACTTTTTGAAAGGGCAACAAAGAAAAGAAACTGCGGTGTAAGACGTGCTTATGATAGCCAAAACGTAACAGAATCGCTATCAAAATCTTCTACCGCTCCAGAAAGTACGTGACTGCTTCTACCATGCTTCACCTTTACAAGAGTCAGATCAGACCAATAACACTGTTTTGACACGTATTGCCGGGAGAGATCAATGCCACTGTTTCAAAATAATTATTTAATGATAATAACGTTTATAATAAGAAGAAATAATTTCAATCAATTAATTACTTAAAAATTACTTCATGGAATGCAAATATCGAATGACTGTTGAGAAATCTATTTTTTTTTAAATTTTTTGTTCTGCAAATATAACGCTCCATTTTTTTTTAATTATTTTGCCATTATTCAATGAACCTTTCCAGTAAAAGTCACGTGATAAGATTAGTAAGGCAATATATGACCTACAAAGATAGTCTAGAGAGTTCCTAGATAATCCTCAGGATAGTCAGTTATCAAGAGACCTACAACAGTGGCGACGCGGAACCTCGTCTATTCCAAAGGGATAAATGTCTTTTACACTTCCAGTAAAACGACAGTGGAATACAACACTTTCTTTCTTCACGTTTCCTTTTTTCATTCAAACAAACCTTCCCTTCTTTTTATTATCTCTTCTTATCACCCATTCTCAATTGTAAGGGAGTTTGCTTCTTTTGTCCTTTCTTTATTCTTTCAATGAACAGTTCCAGTAAGGATCAATGATGGTTTCTTGTAAAACACTATATAAAGAAACCCGAAGAGACAAATGATCCGTATATATTTCTCAGTAGAATTAGTTACCGAGAGATAAATAAACCTTTATGCTGCAAGTAAAAAAACTGACAACCGCAAAGAGTTAAGTGCTGCTTGAACAAATATTTTTTTACTTATAGCCTCTTAAGACATTCCGAAATAATAAAGTGCTTTGAAAAAGCAGACGACAATTATATTTGCCTGTCATTCGACTCTTCTCAGATTTTAAATTATTTCAGCGGTCGACAGGATGTTAGATTTAGCGAGGGTTAATCTAAACGATAAGAAACAAAAGTTTATATAAATACTAATCTCTTTCCTTTTGTTATGTTACTGATACAGTGTCGCCATTTTAAATGCCTGTCTTGATTCCAGCTTGATATTGGTGTCTGAGACATGTATGTTTTCCAAACTTCCGGCATATTTGAAGAGTATTGGCTAAGCTGGGTAAATTTAGCGCGGGAAACACTGGACAATTGGGAGTCTAATCAGGATACGAATATGACATATCAGTTAGGTAAGGCAGAAATGATGTCAAGATGTCAAAAGATTTAGTGGTAAACAGAAACATGTTTTAAATACAAGTTTTCAAAAGGAAAGTGCCATTATAAAACAGAAATGCTTTCAATTTGATCAAAATATTCAAGCTCACATTATTTTAAATTGCACACATATGGTTTTACGAGGGGTTATGAGATGTTATTGGTTCGAGCAAGAACGCATTCCCTAAAAGGCCTATTTTGTCATTTGGTCAGATTTTGTCAAGTAATTTTATCCAAGAATTTTTCATCTCTCTCTCTCTCTCTCTCTCTCTCTCTCTCTCTCTCTCTCTCTCTCTCATAAAATATCTCTTCCTTTTGTGATTATATATGTACATGAAACACTATTTACATTATTCGGACTATTGTCCTCATCTTTGTCGCCATATCTATTATAACGTTTCGGCCGTTGTACGCTTCAGCCTTCTTCAGGTGGTTGGAATGTCAAACTGAGGTGATATTTCGTTCACTGGGGTAGACTGTTCTAGTTCCACGTGCCATGTTTGATGGATGTCAGTTAATTTCCCTCTCCAAGTTCTCCATTGCCTTAACCGGGTATCTGTCACTGGATCTAACGCTACCATGTGTCCTTGAGAACATTTGTGTATAAATTTCTGGGTATTATAAACCTAATGTCTTCAGCAACCATTTTTACCAGTGCTCATATTGCAATTTTTGTTGTTATTACCGCTTTTTAGTCCGCCCTGTTTAGGAAACCACTGATTTAAAATATCACAGTAAAGCATCATGTTTCAGACTGAGTAGGTGTTTTTTTTGTTTTGTTTTTTTGTTTTTTTGACGTGTTGCGTGATTTATTGACAGTCTGACGTTTGGTAAATATAATTAAGATGGACAATATCTAGAAAAATGACATGACAAATACAACGTGAACGCCATTTATTTTTTACATATTTTTAACTACCCAGTAGTTAAAATTTTTAAATATTTTAAGCATTTTAATATTATATTGAATTTTAAGTACTTATGGTTTTATAACCTAACTTACTAAGACGGTTCATGAGAAAATGTTAGAAAATTACCAATAAAGTTAAATTTACTATAGGTACCTCTCTTATTTTTCGATAATGTTGTGTATGGACATCCGTAGTTACAAAACTTGGCACGTTTATATACACAAAAATATTCAAAATTCTTTTTAAAATACTGGTGTTCACTGAATTGCAGTAAACCTTTCCATTTATAATTAACAGATACAGATTTTACTTAATAACAATATCATCTGACCGATACAAATCAATACAGAATTCTGAAAGATTTAAAATTTTATAATTATTCTAATGAAAATTAAAAAAAAAAAATAAAAACAATTCTTAGAAAAATTCCATTATTCACGGTAAAAAGTCGCTCAAATTGCCCGTACAAATTTATGATCCCGCGTTGACGTCAGAAAAACAAGATTTTTAACAAACATTTCCAAACGGATGAAAAAAAAATATCAAAATAACCTTTGATCTCTCTTGATAATAACACAAAGATTTTGACGATTAAATTTGTTTTTATGTAGGGGGGGGGCTTTTTTGCATCATATAACCGTTTTTAGCGAATTTTTGGACGTATCTCCCACAAAGATAAGACAAACCGAAATATTTCACACATTATTCTTAAATCATGTCTCCCTTTACACCAACCAGTATGTTCATATAAATTAGATATTTTTCTAAAGAGTCTTACGCCCATGAATATATCATGAGTCTTGTTAACACTTGAAATTTTTTATGTATGATTTTATTTTGCTTTGTTTTTTGTCTCAACTAGGCTGACCAATTCATCAAACGAATATATCCCCACTCTTCTAATGATGTTCATCTCTGAAACGAACACAAATTAATCTTATCGCTGGAGTTTTTCCCTGCTATCATACTACGACCTCAAGACCACAGTGACACCCAGATTTTTGTAACTTGAAAAGCGGCCAACAACAAATAGTCAACTGAGTCTGGCTTCCACCCAAGAAGAAAAGCAGAGTAATTCGACCTTTTCAACAATAACTTTGTTTTTTGCTTTCCCGGAAAATCGAAACAGAACTAATTTTCTTATCATTTTTTTCTTATTTACTTTCTTTGCTTTGCAGTTTGTTTACATTATATTTTTAGCGCAATGGTTAGCGTCAGAATGTGGGGCTGGTATGCAGAGTTAAAATATTGCAAAGATATCCCCGGAAAAATATGAATCGATCCCTTTTCCTCTCCACCTAGCGGGTGGGTAGTAGCTTTCTAGGCATAGTTAATAATCAATATAGGAGAAGGAAAACACTGGATTTTTTTTTACTTTAACTGTATCGTTTTAGACATTAGATTATGCTAATTTCAACTCAGTATTTATATATTCATTGTGAGTTTCAGAAAACACTTAAAAACTGAATGTTTATACAGTGAGTCCCGATAAAAAATAGAAATAAAATAAAATATAAAAATAAAATATATAAACAAAAATAAAAAGAATTAAAATTAATATAAAACATTTATGCTTTCATTTAAAAAACGTTATCACTTTCTTTCACTTCTCTCTCTCTCTCTCTCTCTCTCTCTCTTTCTCTCTCTAAACTTCTCTTTCTATACTTCTCTCAACTAACCCTCAGATAAGAAGAGTAAAAAGAGAAGTCTGAATTCGGCCTAAAAACACCGGAAGTTTGCACGACATGAGCCTACTAATTTGTGAGTGAAAACTGCCAAAAATCAGGGAAGCTCCACGCATAACTTCCGTTATAAAAAAAAAATGAAAAAGAAAGAAACGCCGGAAAAGAAAATAAGTTTGGCCCATCAAAAAAATTAATACAAAGAGACTTTTGATGTTATCCGAATTCAAGATTCGCATCAGAGCCTTGTCAAAAGGATATAAGTTCATACTTCTGATCTAGATGGTAGAATGGACGGCGAGAGTGAGAAGACACGCGGCCGCCGGAGAAAACATATATGTGTGACGCGTGAAGTAGTTAATGATATTTCTGCCCTGCTTAGGGACAAGAAAAACACAGTAGATTGACACTGACATATTTCTAATATTGCTAATACCCCTAGCACGGCCTGACTTCAAAACTACCATTACTGAACTTTCTCCATGCTACTACCAATATCCACCTTATAAAAGAACATTTTGCGACACCGAATATCAAAGGACCCATTCTAAAGCAAATACATAAAAATATATTATATATTTTATATCCTTGAGTCAGTTAGTTTTATTTCAAAATTTCCAGTAACAAAATCATACCAAATAGCCACATGTATATAAAAAGAAAACTGAGTCGAAATTGGTAACAGCTAATCTCAAAATGGCTCCACCTAAACTCCGAGATATTTTACTCTTTATTCTTTTGCTTATTTTTATCTCAGTTTTTTTTTTTTTTTGCGGGGGGGAGGTCGCTACATTCTAGGCTCATACAGGGTGCGATGGTGTTGTCATTTTATATGTTTAATTTCGCGCATTCACATTGACTATTTTTCTCGACAGTGCAGTATAGGCGCCGTCTGTGAATAAAAAGAGCACCATGACGCAATTCATTCCCCCATACATTTGGAAACGGCATACTGTACTGCTGAGCATTCGCGCCGAAAGCTCTAATACGAACATTTCAGAGTGTTTGAGTGTCAATCCAAACAGCATCATGGTTTTTTGGTGTGATCACTAGTGATGGCAACGTTATATCTCCACCCATCTTCCTACAGGGCCTCAGATTCAACATGGAGGACTACATCAAGTACCTTGAGGAGGTAGGGCTGCCCTATGTCAAGAGGCAACAAGATTCTGCACCATGTCACACAAGCAGGAACACCGAGTCATAGCTGTCAGACAATTTCTGTGACTACATCACTCCTTACATCTGGCCACCTAACTCCCCAGACTGCATCTCCCCCTTGATTAATATGTGTGGGGCGCAGTTGAACGAAAGACCAACAAAACTCCTTGTAACACCAAAGATGAACTGAAGGCAAAGATTATAGCAGCATTCACCAACTTAAACAAGGAGACCATCCAGAAGAGATACAAATTTTAAAGTCGTCTGGATAAGCCAATGGCGATTTTATTGAATAATTTTACTCTTTAGTATTTCAAGATATCTTTGTGTAATTTTGGTAAATATAAATGTTGAAGTGAGATGTCAGCGCTATTTTCAGTTTTACGTCATTTAGACGACAATTTATGCATCGCACCCACCCTGTAATTAGCGTTTGGGCTTAATGACAACGAAAGTTCAAGCACCATTCTCAGTATCTTTACATACACTGTTGTAATCAGGACATTCTCATTCTTTCCTCGAATCACGAATATTTTTATTTTGAATGTTAGTGTTGTTAGTATGACAAGTAATCGGTGAATTAGGATGTACGGAATCTAATTATTTATTTCAATGCGATCGATTTTAATTCAATCAAACAAGGCAGAACCAAGTTTGAATGTTAGGAAACTGAGCCTAGAATTAGTTTGTAATCTCTTTTATACGACAATGTGTTGTTTATGTCGCATTCCATGTGTTTAAATCCCATGCAAGATTTTAAGGGCCCTCAGAAAGTAATTTACGTATTTCCCTGCTATGAATTATGAGTTAACTGTTGTAGCATACCTACGGACGACAATGAGTATGTCGCCATTCACATAAATACAGTAGTAAATACTGTATGTTGCTCTACAGTTAGAGATTCATTGTGGAATTCACTTGACTCACTTCTAGCAGTTGACTACTTCTGGTGCTCGGTAAAAATGGCAGGGTAAAAATGGCAACGGTAAAAATGGCAAAAGTGGATAAATAGGAAAAAATGGCAAAAGTAGATATTCATCTATATTTTTTTCCTTTTGCCATTTTTTTATTTATTTTTGCATTTTTTGACATTTTTATTTTTTTATCCCGTTGACATTTTTTACCAGTTTATTTTTTACCCTTTGCCATTTTTTCCGTTGCCATTTTTACCTAAATTCGACTACTTCTACGCGCCGCTGGCGAATCTTATATGTGTTGTTCGTGTCCTAAGTGTTATCGTGCATTACCAAACTTCGTGTGATTATTCCATTCAGTAACCTTCCCTAGGTTACAACATTAACCAACCAAGGTGGAACGAAAGTTTAACCGCATGGAGGATGATGTATTTAAAAAGCTACATATTTTTACAATAGTGTGAAAATATTGGCGGAAATTAATTGTGTATTTCATTGATTGATTGATTTTGCGCTACAGTTGTTGACACATGAAGGTGATATCATGTTTGATAAAAAATATTTAAATAAAATTAACTCGCATTTGGCAATTCGTGTCGTATTACAAAATAAGATACTAATCCACAAACCATGGGAATTCATTTTCATTATGGCTTGTTAAAAAAAAACATACATTGTTTCCTTTTTCGGAAAATTTCTTTTAAGTGCTTAGTCATTGTGCTTTTCAACGTCTGGTTGATTTGAAAACGGTTCAAAATTCAATGTATGATAATTATATTATACTTGGATACGATAATTACATTATATTTGAATATCAATTATATTATATTATAAAAACATTATACTTCCATATTATATTATATTTTAATTATATTATACTTTAATATCATAATTATATTATATCATAAAGATTATGCTTGAATATCATAATTATTTATATCGTAATTATATTATACTTCAATATAATAATGATATTATATAAAATCATAATTATATTATGCTACGAATACCCATGAAAATTTCACGATTTTCCTATTTGAATTTTCTGATTAATCTTAATTTTTAAGTTAATGTATAAATAATCTCATGACAAGTCAATAAAATATCCATAGAAATTCTCCTTTCGCCTCGCTAAATATTTGAGTTTAACAACTTTAACAAAATATTTCAATAACAGTCATAAATATGAATGCCGGTCGTTATTTTAAGAAATAAGGGTGTGCACTGAAATTGACAACAATTTCCATTTCACTGAAAAAGATGTTAAACACATGAGAGTGTTATCGCCTCTTCTATATTCACTTCTTTCTTTCTTTCACTGAAACCTAGAAGCATCTCTGATATGTCTTTTCTCTCTTTTCACGCGATCGGTATGGAATAGTTCGTCATTTATGAGGTATTGCCAGGACGCAACGTATACGTTAAGGAACTAAAGAGGGAAGCAAGCAGATTTATAAGAAGATAATATCATGATTATCCGATTCACACTTCTCCCCGGTCTTTTAAAGGAGTAGAGGTTTATCACTTGCTTCCTGTTTATGGTAATTTTCTAAGTGTGGCTTACAAGTGACGCTAGGCCGGAAATATGGGGCACCCATTAAGGATCGAACTCACTATTCAGTCATAATTGATCTAGCGAATCAGGATTGCTAACCATTACACCATATAGAAGGGGCCTACTCACTTCCTATTTATGATGGGGTTTTCGGTTTTTTCTAAAGTCTTCTCCCCTTCTGTTTCACTACCAGTATCCCCTTGCGTCTTAGTGGCTTTATCGCCTTGCCTATGGTGAATTTATTTTAAAAAAATCATTATGCAATAATATATAATAATATACCCAATGTGACTCTCTTCTTTCTGTTGAAATGTAATTACTTTCCGAACACCCTAAAATTTTCACAACAGGCTAGGCCCATTATTATTTGTTCCGTTGTTTGTTATCCACGGAAGCCGGATAAGCTAAAAATCAATTTTATCTGATTTCCGTGCCAATCTTAACGCGCGAAATCCGTTGCCGTTCTCTCTTGCCGACACGTTTTATTTTTAGAGAGAACTGAATAACATATGGATTTCACCACTATCAACAATACGCTTTTACAAGCTATCAGTTAATCAGCAAATTAAAATGTAACGTTTGCCGTTTTCCGCGTAGCACGGGCTTAGATAGTGAGGTTTTAACTCGTGAGTACGACCGTTCTTGTTTGTTTGTTTTCTTTCTTTCTAATTTTTAACATCATTTAATCTTTTTCACTTATGGCCTGCTCTGTAGCTGAAATGGTTGCATTTGCCACCTGTGCCAGTAGTCGAATGAAAAGTAGTATTTCGAGCGATGAATTTCACGGCAAGCAAGCTCTCGACAGTTTCAACACGGTCTTCACCAGACCTCTTATGCTGTAATTAGAAATCCGGCCATGATTCATTATTGGTGGCCACAGTCTTAACAACATAAGATATGCAGATGACACAGTGTTGATAGCAGACGTAGAATGGGAACTACAAGAGATCCTTTACAGATAGTAACAAAAAGAAAGCGAGAAAAAAGGAATAAACTTGAAGACAGAATACATAGTTGTTAGCAAAAGGGACAGACTAACATTCAAATTACAAATTAGAGGCACCAAAATCAAGCAAGTACATGAATTTAAATGTCAATCGACATCTCCAGTTGCCTTGATCTATTCACTACCCTTCTCCTCGTCCTTTCCTCTATCACTCCTATCTGATCTTGCTCCAAATCTTCTGTAACCCCTTGCGTCCTAGTGGCTTCTCGCCTTGCTTGGAGTGAAACGCTTAAAAAAAAAATTAGTTACGCCACAAGACCACAGGTATGAGGCACCTAGTGATTAATGAACTTACCCCTTGGCAGTAAAGATCTGCGAGAGCATCCAGCTAACCCTTACAGTCCAAGTCATTCAGTATTCATAAACGCATATGTCCATAGAAACATATCTAATCGTATCGCCATATATTTATTCCACAGATTGTAAAAATCTATCCTGAACAACTGCTTTAAATATCTACTTTGAACATATCAGTCGATGGGTTGCCTTGAGTTGCTTGATTCGAGTAAGAGTCAGTTGCGCCTACTCCCTGTTTTTCTTCGAGGTTTCTCCTCTCTTTTTTAATCATTTCGTTCCAAGCAAGGCAATAAAGCCAGTAAGGCGCAAGGGTGGGGGTCACTAAGTGTTAGAGAATATGAGAAAAAATACTATTAGGGAGAGAGAACAATAAAAAAACAGGAATTAGATAAGATAACGATTGACATTGCATTTGAACTTTTGAAAATCAAAGTTGACTGGGAAGCAAAAGGCCGAAAGAGAATTCCACAAGCAAGACGTGTGATAGAATAAATTCTTAGCATAGAACTTGCGGTTACATCTAGTCATTTCAACTGTAAAATGATGAGACTTAACCTCAAATCTAGTACTGCGATTAATTCATAAAGTCTAAGTAGTATAGAGGAAAGTTCATCAGAATAAATACCATGAAAATATTTACAGAAAAGGCAAACTGGAGCGGCATTAAAACGATAGGAAAGTGACTGAAGCTGAGATGCCAGATCAGGACCAATAACATTGCAAATTCTTCTTTAGATTTTATCAAGAATCTTTAAATATATAGCAGGAGCACCAGACTAGATGTGGCAGCAATATTCAAAGCAAGGACGAATGGTAGACTTATAAATATGTAAGATAGATTCTGGCGAGAAAAATGACACAGTGAATCAACTTTCCTAGTTGCAGACTTAGCAATTTATCCAATATACTCTTTCCACTTCATGTCAACGAAAAAAGTTAGTCTGAGAAGGCGAAATGAGGCAGGAAGGTTTCTTTATCTTTTGTCATTTATTTATTTCGAGAGTGAATGAGTGAAAAAAGAAGCTGTTCTTCATCCACTCATTGAAATTCTGTTTGGAAAACACTCGAGTCAAACGGAAGGAAGTATTTAGAAACTGTCTATCAGATCTGTGGTCATGTCACAGTTTTATAAGAATCACGAGGGAAGAATACGAAAACTTCAAAACAACCACAACAACTCTCTCTCTCTCTCTCTCTCTCTCAGTCTTCCTTTTCTTTCCTTATTTTCTCTTCCTTACCCCCCATTCATTCTGTGTGTGTGTGTGTGTGTGTGTGTGTGTGTGTGTGTGTCTTGCTTTCTTTTCCTCTGCTTCTCATTCACCCGATCTCACGCTTACTTTTACCCTACTACTAAGACACGCTCTTTCTTTCTCTCAGACCCTTTCTTTTGTTTCCCATTGGTCCATATTCATTGTGTTTCTTTCTCTCTCTCTCTCTCTCTCTCTATCTATCTATCTATCTATCTATCTATCTTTCCCTATCTATCTATCTATCTATCTATCTATCTATCTTTTCTTACTTTTCCTGTTCCACATTTATTTGCTCTTTCTTTCTTCCGCTTCTCATTCATTGACTTTCTATTACTTCCCTCTATCCCTCATTCATACTCTTTTTCTTTCTTTCTCTCTCTATCTCGCCTTTCTTTATTCTACTCCTTTCAATTTTTATTCTCTCTCTCTCTCTCAGTCTATACTTTCTTTTACCGCTCATTCACACGTTTAG